TGAGCCACGTCTCCGACAGTGCTATTATTGTAAAAGTTCTGTTTAGCTGTTTTAAATAATCTGTTATTTTGGAGATATTTGCATTTAAACTTCTACTGTTAAAGTGAATAATAGAGAGACCTCCATTCGTTATATTGATGTCATTAAATTGTTCTTCATTGTAATATTCACAGTCTTTTATTTCAGGGAAAAAAATTGTATCAATCACATCTTCAACATTGTATATTTTAAACTCTTAAGTCTTCGTATGTTGCCATGTTATAATGTATTTGTTTGTTTTATATTTTGTTAATTTCTTGTTAGTGAAGTTATGTCAATGATTTATCATCTGTCATCTCCTGAGCTCATTTTAGTTTTTCCAGATCCTTCAGATCTTTTATTATTTTAGCCTGAGATCCTTCCTGTATTTTGATCCAAATGTTTCCATTTCTTGTCCAAGTTGATGCTATTTTTTTCTGTTTTTTTAACAACCTTGCTTCACGTGCAATATTTCCATTTTTTTAGTTAGGTGCTCGTTTATGTAAACATTTGTTCCCTTCAGTTTTTTTGCTTGCATTATTACATTGTTTCTTGATTTCCTGCTAATGAACTTGACTATGGATGGTTTGAATTTTTCTGATTTGTTGGGCAGGGTGTGACAGATTGAAATGTCCTCATGTTCGATGTCAATGTCTTTGTTTTGTAAAAAATTCACTACTTGCTCCTCCAGAGTCTGTAGTTCTTCCTGTGGTGCATCTTCTGCTGTGTTAGTACCAGCAACAACTCTTGCATAAGTTCGGTTCCTAACTTCCAGTCCAGTGATCACCAAGTTGTCTATTTTTGTGTATTGTTCCATGTCGTCTACTTTCTGTTCCAGTTCAGCTATTTTTCTGTCTTTATTATATATATATATTTAGTTGATGTTTTTCTTAGTTCATATCTTAGATGTCATTACTGTTTTTCTTATAAATTTTATTGTTGGATGTAACTGGGACCCTGCGTACATAATTTCGCTCCACCACATGTACCACATGAGGTGCGAATGACAATAAAGAAACTCTGACTCTGATTAGTCATCAGTTCTTTCAATTGTCTCACTTCTTCAGACAGTTCTGTCAGTAATTCACATTTAGCTGATAATTTAGTCACATCAGAACTCAATTTAGTCAGTTCAGCACTCATAAAGTTCAAAGATTTTTTAACTTCCTCCATATCTTCTGAAATATTTTCCGACACTTGTCTCTTATCTCTGTGTTTGCTCGGCATTACTCACGATACTTCTGGATTATTGGTCTCAACTTTCAGAAGCACAGGATCCAGCCACGAGGTTCACAGGCTTATGTTGTTAGCCGAGGCCTAGCGGCAACAACCTCCAGGTCCCACGCGGTCTCACGATTCACTCAGTCCAGCTGTTCGCAGCCCCAACGGTGACAGACCAGGTCCCGGTTATAACAGCTCCCAGATCCCACAGCTTTAGTCTAGATTCCTCGGTTTCAGCGGCTCGCAGGTTCCATTCAATTCAATTCAACTTCAATTCCATTCAAAAATACTTTATTAATCCCAATGGGAAGTTAAGTGTTGTCGTAGCTCATCATTCTGGTTTCATCCAAGAGTTGTTATAGATGCTGATAGCTGTGGGCAGGAAGGATCTCCTGCAGCAAATCTGAAGAACCTAACCACAGATACCGTTCCATCCACCCGGATCCAGCTTGCTGGCAGATCCAGTGGGCCTCTCAGTCCTCCTGAGCAGCAGGACTGCACAAATGCCGGGCAGAATTCTGACCTGAGCGATGGTCACTGCTCCCAGTCCCACATTTATGTCCTCATCGCCAGACAGACAGCTGAAGGTGTCGGGAGATGATCCCGGTCCTCCTGTTGTCATAAGCTGAGTTTCTCACCATCTTCAAGATCTCGGTGGTCAGGTAGTCGAGCAATGTCTCCAGGTTGACAGGAATTCGTCCACGGCTCCTCCTTTTCAACTCATTTGTGATTTGGGGCTGTAGCTGAGATATTTAAGCTTCAGATGTTAATCAGCAGCTGGTTGTTAAAAAACACCTTGTTGCCATGGTTACGCATCATAACAAATGCCCAAAAGTAAAAAAGTTCCAGTAAAAATCTTTCCAGCTGCACAGCATCTGATACCAGAGGAAACAATTATCTGAAAAAAGCGATTTCAATCTAGAAAAAAAGAGGAATAAAAGTTTTCAAAAGCAATAATTCAGAATGAATGTAACAGAGCTGCCCCAACATGCAGCATCCCGAGTGACACAAATCTAGAACAAAATTGTAATCACATCGATCAACCCTTGCTGGAGGCTGGGTGTTTTCTACAAAACTAACTTTTTCAGTTCAGGAAGTCAGAACAGGTCAGAGCCTCAGACAGGTGAAAGTATGGATAAGTGTGATTGCTAGCATAGGCATTCAGGGCAGCTGTGGCTGAGTGGTTAGAGCAGTTGTCCTACAATGCAAGAGTTGGGAGTTCAATTCCACCAGCAGTCACATGCTGAAGTGTCCCTGGGCAAGACACTTAACCCCTCATTGCCTCCGATGTGTGTCCCATCAGTGTATGAATGTGATAAATCACTGATTAGTCTCATTAGAATGATTTGTTCAATTAGCTTTGTAGAGATCTAGTAGAGTGCTGTATGAATGGGTAAATGAGGCACAGATTGTTTTAAAGAGCTTTGAGTATCTGGATAAGATAAAAAGGCGCTATACAGGTCCTTCTCAAAAAATTAGCATATTGTGATAAAGGTCATTATTTTCCATAATGTAATGATAAAAATGAAACTTTCATATATTTCAGATTCATTGCACACCAACTGAAATATTTCAGGTCTTTAATTGTTTTAATACTGATGATTATGGCATACAGCTCATGAAAACCCAAAATGCCTGTCCCAAAAAATTAGCATATCATGAAAAGGTTCTCTAAACAAGCTATTAACCTAACCATCTGAATCAACGACGTAACTCTAAACACCTGCAAAAGATTCCTGAGGTTTTTAAAAACTCCCAGCCTTGTTCATTACTCAAAACCGCAATCATGGGTAAGACTGCCGACCTGACTGCTGTCCAGAAGGCCATCATTGACACCCTCAAGCAACAGGGTAAGACACAGAAAGAAACTGCTGAACGAATAGGCTGTTCCCAGAGTGCTGTATCAAGGCACCTCTGTGGGAAGACTGTGGGAAGGGAAAAGTGTGGCAGAAAACGCTGCACAACGAGAAGAGGTGACCGGACCCTGAGGAGGATTGTGGAGAAGGACCAATTCCAGACCTTGGGGGACCTGTGGAAGCAGTGGACCAAGTCTGGAGTAGAAACATCTAGAGCCACCGTGCACAGGCATGTGCAGGAAATGGGCTACAGGTGCCGCATTCCCCAGGTCAAGCCACTTTTGAACCAGAAACAGCGGCAGAAGCGCCTGACCTGGGACTGCTGCTGAGTGGTCCAAAGTTATGTTCTCTGATTACAGTAAATTTTGCATTTCCTTTGGAAATCAAGGTCCCAGAGTCTGGAGGATGAGAGGAGACACATAATTCACATTGCTTGAGGTCCAGTGTCAAGTTTCCACAGTCACTGGGGTGTCATGTCATCTGCTGGTGTTGGTCCACTGTGTTTTATCAAGGGCAGGGTCAATGCAGCTAGCTATCAGGAGATTTTGGAGCACTTCATGCTTCCATCTGCTGAAAAGCTTTATGGAGAAGAAGATTTCATTTTTCAGCACGACCTGGCACCTGCTCACAGTGCCAAAACCACTGGTAAATGGTTTACTGACCATGGTATTACTGTGCTCAATTGGCCTGCCAACTCTCCTGACCTGAACCCCATAGAGAACCTGTGGGATATTGTGAAGAGAAAGTTGAGAGACGCAAGACCCAACACTCTGGATGAGCTTAAGGCCGCTATCGAAGCATCCTGGGCCTCCATAACACCTCAGCAGTGCCACAGGCTGATTGCCTCCATGCCACGCCGCATTGAAGCAGTCATTCATGCAAAAGGATTCCTGACCAAGTATTGAGTGCATAACTGAACATGATTATTTGAAGGTTGGCGTTTTTTGTATTAAAAACACTTGTCTTTCATTGGTGGGATGAAATATGCTAATTTTTTGGGACAGGCATTTTGGGTTTTCATGAGCTGTATGCCATAATCATCAGTATTAAAACAATTAAATACCTGAAATATTTCAGTTGGTGTGCAATGAATCTGAAATAAATGAAAGTTTCATTTTTATCATTACATTATGGAAAATAATGACCTTTATCACAATATGCAAATTTTTTGAGAAAGACCTATATAAGTACAGTCCATTTACCATTTAGCTGTTCTCCAAAGCTTTGTAATAAATTTGAAGTTTACATCTGGTTGTTTTGGGGATCTCTTTTTTTCCACGACAACCTCCAAACCATATAACTTAGCAGGTCCTGCCTGGACTCTCCTCCTTCCTTCCTCTGGCTGCTCTCTTCCTTAGTGGTCGCCACAGCAAGTGAAATCTAACGAAGATTTGGCATCTGTTTTTGCCGGATATCTTTCCTGATGGGACCACCAATCACTGAGTCATCTCAGCCCACATGTGTGAAGCTGAGTGGATGTGGAGGAAGGTTAAGGGGTTAACAGCCTTGTTCAAAGTAGGGAAAATGAGGGTGGATGTAGGTGCGGATGCATCCTCTTTTCCATCTAAATTTTTGCTGTCGACCCTGGGATTTGAACCTGTGACCAAAGAACTAAGAAAAGTTATTTTATGAAACTTCTGACAGCTTCATTTGATATTTTTTACATCGTGTTTCATGGTAAACTTGTGATTTGCTCAACAAAAACAGGATATTATAATGATGAAGCACAAACTGCAATGGTTTATTAGAAAAATGTTTATGCAAGACAGATCATATTCTGACAAGAGGATAAAACAATAATATTCCAACTCTTGTAAATAAAATAAAGTGAAGTATCAAAGTATGAAGTATGACGTAAAGTATAAACTAAAATATCAAATAAAGTGACATTAAGAAGAGAACACACTAAATGATCAGTCTTGGTTCCAGTAGAGACGCCCATCGTTCTGTCACCTGTGGAAGGTCAAATGGAGTTTAGTAAACAAACAAAAAGAGATGATTATTTTATGTTTGTGACAGTGAACGTTACACAGCTTACCCATGATCCTCTGGGCAAGGCATATTCAACTGTTTCTGAGCCATCCGGGTTCTGATAGACAAGATCAAACTTGCCAGGTTCTACAGGAGCTTCTGGAGATGAGCAGGTGAAAAACAATGAAGTCTGTTTAACATGTTCTCTTCTAAAAGGGTCTGTACAAAAAGAAACTACTCTGTGTAAAATGCAAATTAAAAACAGTCTGTTTTTGTATAATTCTTTATTAAAAAGAAAGATGAGAAAAATGGTCAAAACAGAAACGTGCTCCGTTGAATCTGATGCAACAAATTAACATAATAAATAAAATGTGCACTTCTTGAAGGAACACACATCACTCGCAGCCTGTCATGTAAAGTTTTAATCCAGTTCTCAGGCGCCTCCTTGTGCTTTGAGTGTTATGATATAAAAGACTCTCAGCTACTACCACATCAAACTTTAGCTCAGTGCCTGCAAACTTAACAGAGCTGTAGCTGTTTTTGTGTTTGCTATGGCTATCATCTTAAATGGGGTTGTCTCCAAAGTGACTAATTTGTAGAGGTGTATCCAGTAAACTATATATAAAATTAGAATAATACAATACTATGTTACTTAAAATAAACCTAGCTGTGTCGCATCCTGATGCATGCTCACTAATCCAGATAGATAAATCTAACAAGGTTCAGTCAGGTCCTCTGGACGGATTCTTCCCTCATTCTTCCAAAGAATCTGTCAAGAGGACCTGACTTGGTGATAATTGTCCCATTATGCGCCAATATAAACACTTTTAATTTTTAAGTCTAAAATGCTGTGAACCAGCCATAACTGTGCAATGTATCCAGCAGAGGGCGCATGAAGACTACTTTCAAGTCATGGCCGTTCACTCAAGTTTCACTTTGAGCACAGATGAAGCAGGGAGCAGCACTGTGTAGTAAGGGTGTAACAATATATCGATTTAAGTAGATAAATCAATTAAATGATTAATGATTCAATTATATCGTGGCAAAACTAAAACATCGACTCATATCGTCATCTTTAAAATACGCTTTTATTTTGAAATTCCCAAGGCACGTCCATGTCACCATTTCCGTGCACAGCTGCGCTCTGCAGCCACCTCAGCAACATGGCAGACGAGACAGAAAACACAGATACTGAATTTCTCTCTCCTGCTGGATTTAAATCAACTCTGTGGAAATATTTAGATTCCAACAGAAGGACGGTTCAACAGACAGAACTCATGTCGTATGCAACAGGTGCCAGTGGGAGTTAAATACTCGGGAAACAACAAATTTGTCCGTTCACCTGAAGAAGAAACATGACATTGATAGCCATGTTATTTAAGCTCAATATCTATTTTTGTTTCTTTATAAGTGAAAGGTAATCAGGGCACTTTTACTGGTTTAAAAATGCATTTAAGCATAAGAAATGTGAGACTATACTGAACAGGTCCTTTATTTTGATTTTTTCATTAATTAAGAAAAACATGTTTTTTATTTAAATGCCTGGTGCCGGGAGAAGGGGTTCTCTGCAGACCAAAAGTGGGCGTTTCTGGCGAATAGGCGTTTATGGGCGGCGAACACTGATTGGCTGTGGGTAACCCTTAAAGTCACGAGGATTATTGATGAGGTAACGTTTCTTTGCGATGTTTGACAAAGAAATATGGTTTATTGTACTTATAAAGTATGTTATGTTTTCACTTATGCATTTTATTGAAGTACGTTTATTGTAGGTCACGATAGTTTCGACCGTTCTCTCATTGTTGTCGTAACGCACTGAGGTAAAGTGAACCTCCACTCGGCTCCGGCAGCTCTCACTGTGCACGTTTACAACAACTGGGTGTTGCTTTTCAAAATAAAAGCTGAAAATAAAAGTTCTTATTACTTGAAAAATAAATATTTAAAAGCTGAGTATAACTGAAAAATATGAAAAACAAATAAATAAAAGTGTCACGGTCAGCGGCCCCCGCTGCCCCCCCATCTGCCAAGCCTCTGCCACCTCCTTCAAGCTGCAACCAGAAACCAACATTTATATCTTCAAACTATCATCCCACAGTCTTAATCATTTCCTTCTATTTCAAGTTTCTGTCTCTGTCTGCTTTTTATATTTTTTATTGTTCTGCTTTGTGTGTGATTTTCTGTTTATCTGTTTCTGTTATGTTCCTCTCATTCCTCAGTCTGCTTCTCCACTCAGTCTTTATCATTCACACCTGTCCCTCATCAGCCACTTGCCCAGGTGCTCTCATTACTAACTCTCCCTCTGTCACATAAAAAGCCTTTCTTTCCTTCACTCCTTGTCCGGTGACTGTTCTATGTTCACAGACATCACAATCCTCTTCTGCCTTGTCTGGTTTCTGCCCCCCTGATGATCTGCTCTGCATTATTTCTGATCCAATCTGCCAAAAGTAAGTTTTGCTGCACCGACAGCCTTTTGTTTTGTTGTTAAAGAAAAAATAAATTGTTTTGGTTTTTGAACTCCTGCCTCACTCATCTCTCTGCAATTGGGTTCCAACCTCGAGGATCGTGACAGAATCACCGGACCAGAACCCAGCAGAGGGATGATTTCTCTGTTTGAGTATTTTTGCCGTGAGGCAGAAAAAACTGCCCAGAAAGACAGAGAAAGGGAGGAGAGGAGGAATCCATTTTGGGGGACCCGCCTGGCCATTAAACCTGGGTCCTCACAGCCTCTCCGTCCTTCTCCACTTCACCGCGCCGCTGCACCCCACTGCCCACCTCCTCCTCGCTCTCCACCTGGTGGGGCCAATCAATCATCGGAGGAGAGGAGGAATCCATTTTGGGGGACCCGCCTGGCCATTAAACCTGGGTCCTCACAGCCTCTCCGTTCCTCTTCACCTCACCGCGCCGCTGCATCCCGCTGTCCACCTCCTCCTCGCTCCCCACCTGGTGGGGCCAAGCAATCATCGGAGAGAGGGGGGCAAACTGCTGGTCCTCCCCGAACCCAGCGCAAGAAGGGGAGAGCTTCGCGAAGGGTGGGGTTCATGGCTCCTCCACCACCTGCTGCTGCAGCTCCGTCTCTGGTCTTTGGTTCTCCAGCTGCAGCTCTGTCTCTGGTTCCTGGTTCTCCAGCTGCAGCTCCGTTTCTGGTCTCTGGTTCTCCAGCTGCAGCTCCGTCTCTGGTTCCTGGTTCTCCAGCT